GCCCCAACCCCTTAGCCCGGGAAGTCTGCTGCTTCCCAGATGCCTGCATCTGGGACATTGTGGAGAAGATTCCCTAAGCTCCTCCAGCCCACAGGCCACTATCCTATGCTCCTTATTCATCTGGGCACCAATGACACGGCTCGGAGCGCTCCCAGCCAGGTCATGAGGAGCTACAGGGATTTGGGAGCAGGGCTAAAGGGTCTGGGGGCACAGGTGGTGTTTTCGTCGATCCTCCCAGTCTCAGGCTATGGGCTGAGGAGGATCCACACAGTCAACCAAAGACTGTGACGTTGGTGTCATCGGGAAGGCTTTGGCTTCCGTGACTACAGCCCACTCTTTGGCGAGAGAGGCAGCGAGCTGCTGGGAAGAGATGGCCTCCACCTCTCTCTGCTGGGGAGGAGGCTCTTCTCAGCCAGACTGGCTGACCTGCTCCACCAGGTTTTAAACTAAGCCCGTTGGGGGACGGGGGGACTACCGCCACTGCTGGCCCACTGAGCAACCCTTGCAAAGCCAGCGGGCCAAGGCACTTAAGCTTCACTATTCCCCGCACCTTTTGGTTTATGCACACCCCATCCATCGCCCCACCAAGGCCCAGGACCTCCTGGTCAACCTCCTCCTGGCGCTGGCCAAGCTTGTCATCTGGCGGTCCAGGCAGGAGGCTCTGGCTGGGAAGGCTCCCGGCGCCCTCGGGGCATTTTTCCCTCGGTGTCCTTCGCGCGCGTCTCTGAGCACAGTACCACTGGGCAGTAGTCGCCGGCAAGCTCCCTCAGTTCGCAAGCCAGTGGGCACTGTCCGGGGTGCTCTGCTCGGTGTCCCCCGGGGGAGCACTCGTTTTGAACCAGTGACCCGCACGAGCACACCCTGTTTTGTCTTCTGTTGTCCCCTGTAACTTATTGGCGTTTTTTAAGGAGCTGGTCACCTACCCAGTGGCGGCCCCATGGCGGTTTTAGGCTTTTAGCTGTTTTATGCTTTTATGCTTTTAAGCTTTTAGCCTTTTTAACTGCCATGAAGACAGCAAGCGCCGGACGCCAAGCAAGATCCCCATCCTGAACTGTTTTAATTGGTGTCTTCATGTGCTGGTCGATCGTCGCTACAGCAACATCCACGGCCAGCAGGCTCACCCCCTTGGGGGTGGTTTTGACTTTTGGTCCCTGCCCGTGCCCCATCAGGGGTGCAGACGCAACGATTGCCATCAGCCGCCCTCCGCAGGCGGCTCCAAGGGACTGGTGGCCTAGCTGCGCTACTCTGAGGACATCGAATAGTCCAAGGCACTTAAGGGAGCCCACCCCTGGTACAATCTGTGGGCAAGGCAAGAGCCCCCAAGGGGACACTTGCCTGCCTGTACACAAATGCCAGAAGCTTGGGGAATAAGCAGGAGGAGCTCGTCCTCCTGCGTAATGCAAATAATTATGACGTCACAGGGATAATGGAGACCTGGTGGGACTCCACCCATGACTGGACCTTGGGTATAGACGGCTATACCCTGTACAGGAGGGATCATGTAGGTAAAAGGGGTGGGGGAGTAGCTCTCTATGTTAAGGAAAGCTACACGTTCCTGCAAGCTGATCTTGGTGACCAGGGTGGACGACTGGAGACCCTCTGGGTTAAAATCTGTGGGGAACACGGCACAGGGGACACAACGATTCAAGTCTACTACAGACCTCCCACCCAAAGTCCTGAGCTTGACCAGGAGTTCGTCCGGGAGCTGGCTGAGGCCACGCGCTCCAGGACCATGGTTGTCATGAGTGACTTCAATTACCTGGACAGCTCGTGGGAGGATCACTCAGCAAAATCCGAGCGGTCGCAAAGCTTCCTCTCATGTGTGGATGACCTGTACCTGACTCAAGAAGTCTATGGGCCAACAAGAGGCAAAGCGCTGCTTGACCTGGTACTGGCTACAGGGGATGACCTAATTGGCAACCTAGTGATTGATGGGAAGCTGGGTGACAGCGACCACGAGCTGATCACCTTCACCAT